TCAAAAAATTCTGATTTTTTTCGTGGTAAGTTTAACAAATGTTTCGAGAGCTTGTAAATTTTCATTTTGGAATGACATTTGTGGAAGTCGCGGTAAAAAAAAACCAACAAAATCAGCACTCCAAATGCTTGTGAAAATGGGATTGGCTTTTTCACGACTTCCACAAATATTTTTTCATGATGAAATTTTGCATGCACTGAAAATTTATCAATGTTTCGCACATTTTTTTAATGACTTTACTGTTCATCTCAGTTAATCATATGACACGAGTACATGCAATCGTATGATTCGCGGGGTCACTAAATCCCTTCGGTTCTTTTTAGTTCGCATATAATATTTGTTTGAAGTCAAGCCTCGTAAAGTTTGATCAACTTTATAGAAAAAGATACCAACATTCACAATGTGAAATCAGTATCGGTGGATGCGCCATGACTTAAATTTTCATATTATATATAGACAGCTCGCCAGTCTTCTTGCATCAGCCACACCTAATTACAAATGCCTTGGCCTCTCCATGCTCGTCATTTACATTTAAACTGCACACTCCCTTGTTTATGTCTTACTCCAAAGGTACGGCCTTTAGCACATGACCATTCCTCACTCAAGTCATCGACACCCTCGTCGATGTACATGTTGAAAGAAGAAATTCCACTATCTCGCAAACGAAATGAGGTTATAAAATTCTTATATGCAAAGCATATATATGGTCAAACTTTATGAAGTTTGACTTCAGACAATTCTTATATGCAAAGCATGTAGTATGAAGGATACAAAAATAGAATGTCATGTCATCTTTGAATGCTGCAGAATTACATGAACGTTTGACCGTGTACATGAATGTCATATCACGGCCGCCTGCCAAGCCTTGGACGTCACCGAGGAATGTGGCGGTGGGGCCTCGACTACTTCGCCTCTCCGGAGGGGGTCAGACTCCCGGGCGGCAGCCTTTGCTGTTGAGGTGTCATCGTTTTCTACGGCGGATGTTGACGTGGGCATGGTCAGACCGGTTTGACCGTGAAGGTAGCAAACCTTATGACGGACAAGGACCATGTAGTGGGAGATGCTTCTTTAGGCTTCCGGCAGCGCCAGATCTGACTACTACGTCCCCCTTTTGTTTCTCGGTGAGCTCCATCCCTTCGAAGCTACGCTGTGTCGGCATGGGTCGTCAGTTCCCGAGTTAGGTGGTGCTGGTGGTGGGGAATCAAAAACTCAAAATCTGTTGGGTGGCGATGCTGCTCTGGCCGTTGTACCCTTCTTGAAGGCGTCGTCTCGGGAGCTTTGTTTGTTGTGGGCTTTGCGTTATTGTGGCAGGTGGGCGGCAGCGGTGATAGCGTGCCTCTTGTGGGGGCGCCGGCTTTGCATGTACGAAAGTGACAACTCTTTTGGGTGGTCTTCGTGCAGATGGTGTGAGTCTGGTCCGACAACTCGCAGATGTGCTTGGACAAGAGGGAGTAAGGTTCCATCCACCGACGGTCACACCATCGTGTGTCGTCAGAACCAAAGCTTCATCTTGCGGCCTTGGCTCTGCCTGGTCATGCTCCTTGCTTCCCCATGGAACCTTGTTATTGTGCATTTTCGTCTGTTTCGTGGTTTGTCCATGGGCAGCGGTGATGCATTTCTCCAGGAGACTTGTTTGCGTCATGTCGAGCCTCTCGGTGGGACTCATCCATGTTCTAGGGTGAACATCTTCATCTGTCGTCAATGTGACGCCTTTTGAGCCGACCAAGGAGGCAGGGGGTCTTCTTTGATGATGGAAATGGGCAGCGGTGTCGTTCCAGGCCCCTGCTGGTTTGGGGTTAGCGTGCCCATACTTCGACACCGGCTCTCCTTCCTGATCCAACACCCTCCTCTTCCCCGATCACCCTTTCGCAGAAGAAGACCTCGGCGCCGTCAAGCTATTCATGTCATGTTTATCGTTTTAGCTTGCAGAGTGCGAGGCTTAAGAGGAGCTCGCTTTAAAAAGAAAACTTCTATGGATCGTAATCCAACAAGTCAAACAACACAAGTAATTTTTTTTGGACTGTGATATTTGGCACACGTGTGCCATATAAACAAAACTGCCACACCTTTATTTATTTCATTTTAAAGTACCATACGATCCCTCGTTCTTTGACCTCGCCTCTTCCCAAATGACCCTGCAGGCTTGCCTGAGAAACCTGCTTCTCCCGCACATCTCGGGCGCTCACCCCCGAGAAAACTGCCACTTCTTCACGTCTACCACATGATTTCTCCTCAGGACAAAGTTACCATGATATTCATATGCAAGTTATCAGGCCTGTGTTGCATAACTTACCGTGCTATTTACATAGAACGTATCAGGTACTATGCTTCAACAACTACACCCTTTCAAAGTTACCACTGCGTTTTGTACACAAGTTATAAGGTCTTCGATGTGTAAAATACCGTGGTACTTACACATAAGTTATCAGGGTATATGTACATCAACCTCCCCCCGGTCAAAGTTACCATAGGGGATTGTACACGAGTTAACGGGTCTACGGTTCGTATATTATCATGGTACTTGCACCTAAAAACATGGGTGTGTTTCGGTAGCTTTTTCCATAGATAAAAAATTATCATGATGTTTTTGCGTAACTTATCACGCCTATAGCACGTGTGCCCCTCATGACACTAAACATTATGTGACTTTCCCGTGAGACGCCATGTGTTGTGTTCATCCAAGAGGCCCACGCGCGAGGCAAGTGTATGTTTTTAACAACTTATATATTTTCGTTTGGTAAAAAAGTTACCATCATGTTTATATTGCAAGTTATCGGTTATGCGGTGCTTATATTATCATGTTATTTACACAAAAATTATTGGGGATGTTTTGAACAACTTTTTCCCGGGGCAAAAAGTTATCATGGTGATTCTAAGTAACCTATCAAGCCCAAAATGCTTAAAATATCATGCTATTTACACAAAATTTATCAGGGATATGTTTCAGCGACAAATCCCCCCCTCCCTCCCACCCTCCACAGGTCAAAAACTTATCATGGTGTTTAGTTATCGTAGTGCATATGTTTTCATACTATTTACACATAAAAATGCCAGGGGAGGGAAGTATACTATCGTGCTATTTACACAGAAGATACCGGAGTATCTTTTCAAAAAAAAAATCCCTACGGTCAAAGTTACCATGGTGCTTCTACCTCAGTTATCAGATGTGCGCTGTGTATATTACCATCTATTTACACGTAAATTATCAGGTATCTTTTCACATTTGTTTTCCCCAATGGTTAAAGTTACCACGATGTTTGTATCTAAACTATCAGGTCTATGACGTGAATGTTATCGCGCTATTTACAGAAATTACCGGGGGGCGGGTTCAACAAATTTATTCCCAATGATCAAAGTTACCATGATGCTTGAAACAAAAAGTTTTTCAGTGCTAACATATTAAAGGCAAAAACATGTCAAAAACAGTATTTCCCTTAGAATGTTCAACAATGAGTGTCATAGGTGAGGTGGTTAGCTCCCTTCTTTAATTACTTGCAGACCAAAGATCAAATCCTAGTCTAAGCATTATTTTTGCTGAATTAGGAAGGCACGAGCGGGTGTGCCCAATAAGATCGGGGAGGACGTGGAGAGAATTGATGGCGTTGGATGCGTGTGACAGTTTTGCAATCTGCCACACGGTTGCCATATATATATTTCGTTTTTTTTTTTGAAAATCCTGTGTATCCAATATCTGCAGGGGATGGAATCCAAACGAACCTAGATCACTGCAATGACAGATACACCAAGAGAGGAGAATGTTGCACCCTTTTGTTTCACAGTGTGTGTGTCTGATCTTTAACCCCGGGATGCCCCAAGAATCTACAGCGTTTGCACACGTAGAGGCATACCAGCCATGTTCTCCATTGTTTTCACAAGATGCTATTTGGCTCTCCATTGACCGTGTAATCCATGAGAGGGACCTGGATACGGTCAAGCCTCCATCCATGATCTCCCACTGCTTTGCTTAAGGTAATGTTAATGGAGGAGTAAGAAACAAGCTTACCACCATCACCACCACTACTAATCTACCACCACCACTACTAATCTACCACCACCACTCCATGTCCATGGCTACATGTCATGTGAGACCCACCGCCCCCCGTCCCATTCCTCCTCCCCCAATTCCACCACACAACGGTCCTCCGCTCCGCTCCGCTCGCTCTGCCCGCACCGTACTGTTCACAAGGGGCGTGGGCGCCGGCCGCCGCCGCTGACCGGACCGATCCGTCCGTGCGAGCACCGGACGCGGCGAGGAGATCCCGGCTGATCTCCGGTTCTCAGACGCGTCTAGCTCCAGCGGGAGGAGGAGGCGGCGTCGTCGATCTCGGCGGGGGAAAGGCGCGAGCTTGGGCTTGCCTGACTTCTTGCTGGCGGCGGGGGCGAAGGGGAGGGCGGCGGCGATGCTGCGCCGGAAGTCGCCGTTCGCGGCGGCGCCGGCGGCCGCCAAGCAGGGGGAGGGGGAGGAGGCGCCCGCGCGCAGGCCCGGCGCGCCGCTCTCGCTCGCGGGCCTCCTCGTCTCCATCTTCCTCGTCGCCATCTTCCTCTACAACGAGGACTCGGCCGTCGTCAAGGCCCCAATCGCCGCCCTCGACGCCGGGGCCGGGGCCTCGCGCGCCCGGTCCGCCCCCGACCTCCACCTCCTCCACGAGGTCAACCCCCGCCCCCAGCAGCAGCAGCGGGAGCAAGGGGAGGAGGACGAGGGGCGTCGCCATGTGGAGCAGGTGGAGAGCAGGAGGAAAGCGAGCGACGGCGACAGGGTGGACGCGCCCGCGAGAGCCGACAAGCGCGCCGCCCCGGCCACGACGACCACCACCACGCCTCCTCCCAGCAGCAGCGGCGGCAACACCACCACCACCACGAGCAGCAGAGCGGCGGTGGCGGCGCCGGAGCCGGCGGCGTGCAACCTGTACCAGGGGTGGTGGACGTACGACGCGGAGGCGTCGCAGGTGCCGCTGTACCGGGAGGCGGAGTGCGAGTTCCTGACGGAGCAGGTGACCTGCATGCGCAACGGCCGGCGCGACGACTCGTACCAGCGGTGGCGCTGGCAGCCGTCCTCCTGCGACCTCCCCAGGTACCCATCGTCTACCTCCGGCGCCATTGTCGTCGTAGATCTCAACCCAACCCAACCGAGAATATTGAATCTCGGTGTCCAGGTTCGACGCGCGGGCGCTGCTGGAGCGGCTGCGGAACAAGAGGCTGATGTTCGTGGGGGACTCGCTGAACCGGAACCAGTGGGAGTCGATGGTGTGCCTGGTGTCGTCGGCGATCCCCGCGCGGGACCAAAGGTCCCTGGCCAAGTTCGTCGGCCCGAACGGGTCGCTCAACGTGTTCAGGGCGGCGGAGTACAACGCGACGGTGGAGTTCTACTGGGCGCCGTTCCTGGTGAGCTCCAACTCGGACGACCCGCAGGCGCACAGCGTGGCGGACCGCGTGATCGCGTGGCGGTCCATCGCCAAGCACGCCCGGCACTGGCGCGCCGCCGACTTGCTCGTCTTCAACACCTACATCTGGTGGCTCAACAACTTCGAGATGAAAGTGCTGTGAGTCGCTCCTCCCTCCGACCGTCCTCCATTGCCGCTTGCTCCGGCGATGGATCAGCGAGTGATGTAGGTGGAATGGTGGTTGGCAATGCAGGAAGAACCCTCGGGCGATGCCGGACAAGTACACGGTGGTGGACCGGCCGGTGGCGTACAAGGAGGTGCTCAAGACGTGGGCCAAGTGGGTGGACCGGCACGTCGACCCCGGCCGGACCAAGGTCTTCTTCATGGGCATGTCGCCCAACCATGGCGTGTAAGTCACTCGCTCACTCACCAGCTCTCGATCAGTACACTAGCAGTATCAGTACCAACTTGTTCATTGCAAATGCATCGGGTTCCTCCATTCCCGTGCGATTTTGTTCTCAATCACGGGCAAGGCAGGGCTGGGATTCCAAAGCAAACAGGCTTCTCGGGCAGTGCTAATCCGCTTGTAGGAGTGCTAGACTATTGTAGTGTTACCAATTGTTTAGTGAGGGCACAAATCTTGGGTCAAGGGTAAATAATCCTGATCTCTGACTGGGCTGACACGTGCTTCACATTAGGTGCACCACCCCACAGTGCGAGAACCAGAAACTTCGCAGGAGGGGAGGCACAAAATCCAGCCCGAGAGAGAGCACATGGGCATGGGCAAACCTTGGGCTTGGCTATTGAATTTCAATTGTGCCTGCCCCCCGGAGCTATCCCTCTGGCTACTAGTACTACTAGTACACGGCCTGGTCCAAGAGCAACTCAGCAGTCTCACTTGATGAAATCTTCAGTTGAGAGTTAGCAAGAGTTGAGAGGCGTGCCCACACTAGGTAAGGCAGCCCAGTCTCTTTCATCGGATCGGTCTCGGTCTCTTGCTTGCCAAGACCCGGCTGGCGCAATTGAATTGCAGCCCACTTTTCATGTTTAGGCCTGAGGGAGTCGCACGCGAGGGCCTGAGGGGGAGCCTGAGGGGGAGTGTTAAACGAATTATTTGTGTGTTGCACATGTGTTGATTTACTAGTAGGTACCCTAAACAATTGAACTACTCCATAATTCAACAAGTAGGTACGTGTTCCAAAACTAGCTACGACACGACAGGCCAAAAGCTAGCTGGACTGGACTGGACTGCTGGAGCCTGGAGCGATCGATCCCATCGGAGTGTAGCCACGTTCGGAACAGCTGTGCAGCTTGATCGCTGGAGAGAAGCATGGTACGTACCATGTTGCCTGCTTAAACCAAGCTGAGCTTCATGTGATGCGCCGTACCGTTTTGGTGGCAACTTCCGCTTTAAATACTGTGTAAGAAAATAATGATTCTACACACACACAAATGGGTATCGACAAGCACGTGAACACACCATTCCACCAAAAAGCAAGCAAAAGAAACAACCAAACAACACAAACAAGGCGGCATGTGCGAGGCAAATCATGGCGATGGCAACCTGACCTTGACCTGCATCACGAGTGTCGCCGGAGGAAACTGAGTTCTCATCAGCCATCTCTGTCCGTGTTATTACAAGCTTTTTACTAACGAGTGTGTATCTCTCATGGACGTGCACAGGCCGGACGCGTGGGGCGGGGGGCCGGGCGCGATCAAGTGCGCCATGGAGACGCAGCCGATCCTCAACCACACGGGCCCGCTCTACGTCGGCACCGACTGGCGGCTGCACGGCGCCGCGGAGGCGGTGCTGCGGTCCATGCGCCGCGTGCCGGTGCACCTCGTCGACATCACCGCGCTCTCCGAGTTCCGCAAGGACGCGCACACCTCCGTGCACACGCTGCGGCAGGGCAAGCTGCTGACCCCCGAGCAGCAGGCCGACCCGCGCGCCTACGCCGACTGCATCCACTGGTGCCTCCCCGGCCTCCCCGACACCTGGAACCACTTCCTCTACGCCCAGATCGTCGCCGCCCCTCCGCCGCCGGCGCAAATGCAGCTGCTACAGTCGTCGTCGTCGTCGTCATCGTCGTAGCACGTAGCCTAATTAGTACTTGTGCTCTACTGATCTTTTTTTCTTCTTCTCTCCGGGTTTTCTATCTTTGTCTTTGTGTAAACCAACCAATCTGTTGTCAAGCCGTGAGTAAGTAATTCTTTTGTAGAAGCACGAAAGGCTCCGGAAATGTGTGTGTGGATGGAGTGGCGCGACGATGGAAGGTGAAAAAGGAATGTGGACCACTGCTCTGATGAACTAGTAGTTGGGTCATTATTCCTGTTCTTGTTTTTCATCCGTGGCTCAATGATTATTCCTAGGAAAAAAGGTAGTATATCAAGAAACCAGAGGAAGCAAGAACACAGGTGACGTGAGTCCCCATCATGAATATACGCAATCATCACCATTTCCTAACCAGTGTCACGGCATTGAGTTTTGTTTGTTTGAGACACCAACCTGGGTATGATGCTGGCGGCAATGTGGCCCGTCACCGCGTATAATGAGTGAGGGGTGGGGGCACTGGCATTTGTGAGTTCTCGCACGTATTCTCATAATTAAGAGGGGCTGTTCAAAGCGGTCCAGTTGAATCTTCTGCTCGCAGGAGGCACGGCGTGGCCAAACAGTGGCAGGGCCTACACCACATGCACCAAAGGAAATAACGCTAACCGACACAAAACATATGCGGGGTTCTAAAAAAACTGATACAGCTACAGTGATATGATGTCGAATATTAGGATATAAATGACCGAGCCGACACAAATAAATATCAGATTTAACACGCTGCAAAATGTCTGCATAATGAAAGCAAAAGATACAATTTTATTCCAAGGAAGGTCACTAACTAATGTACCGAGTGAGCAACGATACGCCTGATGCAGTATATTCCACTGAAATCCTAGAGTGTCTTCTCCTTATCCTTCCATGCTAATATTTGCCTATACAAGCAACAGGAGTAAAAGACTCATCGAAAAGGTACTTGGGCACTTTTCTTCTCTTTCACAGACCAGCACAGGGTTGCTTCTTCTCCGAAAGCCAGAAAACCGGATGCAATGCCTGAAGTGCAGGGCTTTCAAAACTGCCGCAAGATCTTCATCTATCAGTTTCTTCTGGTAGCTTAACATTTCCAAAATGTATCAGCTCCATCTCGTCTTTCCAAATCTGCGGGTCCAATCACAAATGCAGTTATCAACGGAACAAACCAAACACGCAAGCACAAGAAAGAAAAAGATCAGATAACACTAGCAGAACAGGTGTAGGTGTGAAGTACATACGTTGTGTCGGAATTCAATCCTAATGTGAGGAACATTTGTCTGGTGGATGTCATTGCCGTCGGGACCTCTTTTATAGTAGTTTCTACCAATCCAGTGTGACTAGATAAGAAAAGAAAAGAAAGGCCAGAGCTTACAGGGAGTCCATGACTTGGGTTATGTAAGAACAGAGAAAATTGGCAAATGAATGTACAATGCGTACCTTCAGCCTATGAGAGAAACCAGACTGGTACACAGAATTCCTGGCTATTTCACACAAGTCACAAGAGCTAAGCTTCCACAGCTGCCACAAGTAACAGTCGATAAAGAATTAGGCAGGTCTCTGAGTGGGCATGGAACAGATCACATAGTGGGAGGGAGCAAAGATATTTACCGAAGCAGCAACACTGTATTCTTCAACCAAAGGTTCTTTTGTTAGGTGAATTTGTAAAGGGTCGTCAGTTGAGAGAGAAACATTCAGGCCTCTTAAGAAAAATGTTGGGAACGGGTTCCTGTGGTAGTCAATAAACAACGAGTTGTTGCTCAAAGGAGACATTGCAAGACCAATCTGATTGCAGGCAAAGAAATATGATTAGTTTCTTCTGAATAATGTCCTTAAAAGATACATAGGAAATGGCAGTGCTAACCTGAGCAAGATAATACAAGTACTGGAGGACAGGGGACTTCTTTAGATTCACCCCGTGAGCAATATTGTGAGAAGTGAGAAATGCTGCAGCAAGATGATCAATATCGCCAGCCTGAAGACAAGAAATCATTAAGACAACGTGTTCAAGTCAAATACAGATATGTACTCCCTCCGTCCCAAAATTCTTGTCTTAGATTTGTCTATATACGGATGTATCTAATACTAAAATGTGACTTGATACATCTGTATTTAGACAAATCTAAGACAAGAATTTTGGGACGGAGGGAGTATATTAGATGCAGTATGGGTACACCTCTCCACAGTGTGGACGAAGTTTGATTGTTGTCATGCCCTTGGAGTCACGAAGCTGCATACAAAATGTTCTCTCTATTATTTTTCAAGTTTTTTTATGAAAAATAAAGACACAGGAGATGTGGGCACAAAATGTTATTACCTTGTTCAGTGTGTAGAGGTTAGCATAGCAATAGTATACATAATATGCATACGCTGGATTGAAAACATTAGTCCATTGCTCAGGAGTCGGCATGTGTTTTGTTGGGCGCCTTTCTGGTTTGCTTTCATCATCCACCAAATCTAAACCAACAACCTGAAGATAATAGCATGAGAAATAAAGATGGCTGGAGAAAAATGTCATGAATGGTCTACAAGAGAATAATAGTGTCAATGCACTGAGCTTTGAGGGCCCTCTTAGTGGAAGAAATTTGGAAAAAATCCTGCTGACTGATGGTTTTATACTGCAGGCAGGTAACTTTCTCAAGATTGTCCACACTTTTTCTACTAAAGTAGAGAACAAGATTGATCTTTCAAGCATTGGTCAATAAATTTTTCTTTAATAAGACACACAAGTCAGTTGCTTTTTCTATTTCATACAATTGCAAGATGACTAGATTAGTGTTGAAAGCCACATCAACATAACGCAGAACAGTAACAAATATATAAAGTGCTTCCACTGACCTGTTCTAAGAAAACGTGCAGCTGAGGATGTGAAGAAGGATCAACAGTTACTTCAAAAAGTGGAAGAAAAATGTTGTCAAGGAGGTTCTGGAATGAATTAATCGTGCCCATCTCCCTGTATACATTGTAAATCCGAGGAATCTGCAGAGAAAATTAAACACCACATCAGTGCAACTACTCCAGGTAAAAAAAGTGATTTATGTTCCAGTCCGGTTTTAGACAAAGGATATACATTGATTAATGAATATGTTAAGAGTGAATATAGAAATTGGAAGACCAGAAATACTGAAGAGGACAACATAGAGCCATTACCTGGATTAACCAAACAACATTCTCGCTGTACAATTCGTTATTCACTATCCAACTTGCCATCTGATCCCACTCACTTTTCTTTCTCCCATAAATAGATATTCGATACTCAGCCATCTGATAAAGATAATTGGAGTATGAGCATTAGCCAGAGCCATATAGCAAAAAAAAGGGCTAGATCAATGTGTAAACACTGCTTGTACATGAGTAGCCAATATTTCCACATTAAAAATTAAAAATATGAAAAGAACTATCTCTAACCCTCGACAAATCAATATAGAAAGAAGAAATCACCTGATATTTGCTTGCTTCAAGGTCAGCAAACACTTCTTTAGTTAATTCAGCGAGGAAGCGACCTAGTAATAAGACAGGATAATAGTTAACAAAATCATCCATGTACAGTCTATGTTGGCGGTGATTCTATTGCAGGATATAAGTTTAACAGTAGTACAACAACTGAAATAAGAGAAATGAAAGAGAGTATACACATTCAGGCAACAAGACAAAACATATGGGCACCTTGAATAAGGTTGTCCTGCTTAAGAAAGATCTCCCTGAGGCGAGACTGGCCACATGGATTATATTTCAGATTGAACTTGTCAAAACGGTGAAATGTACTCTTATCAGCATGCACGTCCAAGAGATCAACATTGAGGTCATACCTATTGAGAGAGTAAACAGGTTACTACAAAAAAGGTAACAAGAAGATAAATAACAGCACCATCAGATAAAGGATTTCAGTTACCCAGTCAAGTCCAAACTCTCGAACACCTCCTTAAGAGTCAAATAGGTCCCATCTCTAAAAATCACAACCTACATAAGTGAAATTTTGGAGCATAGGTCAAGTGCAGGACGTTCTGTCTCATCAGGTTTATTGCTACGTGAGACAACATCAACAATCAGGCAGGAAGGAAGTGGATGTACCTCATCTGGTTCTTTCTTCAATTTTGACTTAATAAACCTCAAAAGATGCTTCTGGTTCATGCATGCAGAGTGATGAACATGAGTATCAACCTTCCTGACATTGTAGAAGTCCCTGTGTGGTGCAGCTTTCTGGGCAAGCAGCTCTCTATCGGCATTGACCATCAAATGAAGATTAAATTTCTGAAATTACACAAGCATGAAAACAGAGGTCAATGTACAGAATAAAATAGCTTGCGCATGCGACGTCATCAAGTTCTCAGTGAGATTTATAAATCAAGCTAGTTTCACAGGCCAGTCTGGAACAAATTCAATATATGCAGGCAACAATAGAGCAAGTGTTTGAAAGGAACAAAGTTCAAAAGAATTACTTGCTCTAGAAGATTTAAACGGTGATGACAGACGGTTCGGATATCCCCAGCCGCCAATACACGAAGGATATAATGCATATCAGTAAAGAAGGTGGTAGCATCAGCAACAGGATACAGTCTTTCTTTAGCTGCATCAACAAAGACAACGTGATGATCAACATGCCCTAAACTAAGAAAATCACGAGAAACTAGAAGAAATGAAATGGTTTTTCACTCACAATCTTTACTGGGGTACAGATGAACAACACCATCAACCATTTCAAAGTGATGCTGAAAGAAGGGAAAACAATGTTTTAGGGAAAGGAAAGCAGATATATGTGTAGCCAGTCATTATACGCATACCTAGAGAAATGCACTTACTTCAGTTTTGGTCTGATGTTCATAGTTGAACGGGTTTGGGTTAGGTTTGGGGGTACTAGGATCAGTTATTATTTCCTTCTCCCATGGAGCAACTTCTTCTCTGAAGATGTACTTCTCTCGTAGCTCAAGACATTTTTGAAGAACTTTGTACGCTTCAATTTCATCATGAGAAGGAGTTTCTGAGGCAAAATCAAGAATAAGTACAAGAGTAGC